CATCCATTGCCTTCCTTTACACAGGTTTCATAGTCTACTGTTCTCCTCTGCTAAAAATAACTTGGTTATATTCACCACCCTCTTTTTATCATTAGAGACTATTCAGCAAGCATTTCTAAAAAGGCTGGACTCCCCAAAGCTGTTCCCCACCCCTCTTATGATACTCCATCAATAATCTCCTTCAACAGCAAAGATGTTCAGAGAGGGCCCGAACCCTGCCACCCCTGACACAACCACTGTCTTTTTCTCCAAAAGCAAACATCCCACACACACAGTACCTCAGCTCCGGACACACGAACTCCTAGCTCATTGCTAATTTCCCACCTAACACCCTCTGGTCCACCACCCATTGCTGATGATTTAACGCAAACACTCTTAGTCCCCAGCTCTTCATGTTATTTCATTTCTTTGACCAATCGTCATCTTTACTTCCTTTATTAAGATTTGTTTTCAATTATATGTGGGTCCTAGGCCATTGGAGGTTACTGCCCAAGGTCACCCTCAGGCAGCGAGTTACAGAGATGTAATTTGAACACAGATATGCCTGTCGCCAGAACGTGGGCTCTTAACAACGTCTTTGAACTGCTTTTCAAAGATGAAGCAAAGGCTCTCCCATGGGAGAGCCGTACCCGCTGCCTGAATATTAACGCCACCATCTTCCGAGGCTGGGGTCGGCAAACTGTGACCCATGGGCCACAGCCAGCCCGCTGCCTATTTTTATAACTGAAATTTTACTAGAAACCAGTCGTGCTTCCTCGCTTACATAGTGCCCATGGCTGCTTTCTCATTACAACAGCAGGGTGTAACGACCTGCCCAGCCTAAAATTTCACTATCCAGCCCTTTACAGAAAGTTTCCTGATCCCTATACTCGTCAGCCATCTTTGAGGATCCTCATTTGCTAGTTTAAGGACATTAATAACAAACTCACCTATCTACTGTGAAAATTAAGGAAGCTAGAGTATCTGGAATAATCTAAGATAGCAGGTACCCCCAAATGTGAACTGTAATCTGATTCAGTCTCTGCATGGGAAGGAGGGGGAGAGGAAGCCATGCTTACTCTACCAGATGTCACTTCTTTCTTGGGGGTTTACTTCCCCTGCACACATAACATCTCCCCACACTGTGAGGAAGAGGCAAATGTCTCTTACCACAATCAACCTTCAAGCCTATTCCAGAGTTGTTCATATTTATCAGAGGCTCTACCATTCTCCATCAACAGGATTTGGGTCTCTGAAGCCATCTTGTATGTCTGAACTCTATTCATTCAACTTCAAATAACTTCTATTTATTCAACCTACATGACAGCTTACAAGCCACCCCTGTTCTGTCTCCACTGCCTGTTCCCACTCTAGTCTCATAACCTCCTACTGGGTCACCCCGGTAGTCTCCTAACCCAACATATTTACAAGTGTGCTACACACGAATATCAGATATGCAAAATATTTCTTAAGCAAACCAAAAATCTCACATGAAGACACTTCAATATCATGTTGCTACCCAATACGCTAAACCATCAATTTTGCATTCAGGTTGTCTCCATGTCATGATTCCAACCTACACCTCAAACTAACATCACATTAAGTTCCTTGTATACTTACTATGCATCATATATTACATATATATTACACCGAGCAATGGAAATAAAATGATAAGAAATTCAAGAAACTCAAAATCTATTAGGAAAGACAGATATAAAAAGAAAAAAACACCCCATGCAAAATGAAGTGTTTTAGGACAGGAAAATATGAGCACAAGGAGAAAGCAGGAGCTATCTTTGGCACCAAGGTCAGAGGTCATGAGAGTCGAGGATGGTTTCACCATCCTCAAAGACAAGAGGGATTAAAGATAGAAAGAGTGGGTATAGCAGGAGTATAAAGGACTAGGGGGGAAAATAATAAGAATAATGAACAACTATATACCAGAGACACTTTATGGGAATGGGATCAAAAAAGGGAGCAGGGGAGTGCATGGGACTATGGTGATGGAACACGGGTGATTTGGGGATGGGAAGTCCACGGGGATTACAACTGAGATGGAAAAAGGCACAGAGTGATGTAAAAATAAACTATTATAATTTAAAAAATTAAAAAAAAAAAGAGTGGGGAGAAGAAAAGAAAGGCTATAGGATATAAGAGTCTTAGCGCTTCTCATTCTTTTTTTCACCAAAAGCAGTGGTTTTAAGCCAGAGGCCATTGTGCCTCCCCTGGGGCACTTGGCAACATCTGAAAGCGTTGTTCATGGCCACAACTGGGTGTGTAGAGGAAAAATGCTTCTCAACTTCCTAAACACAAAGGATCGCTCCCCACAACGAAGGCGGTTCCAGATGAAACGCCAGTGGCACTGGGTTGAGCAACCCTAGTCTAGAGCTGGGAGGAGCAGAGGGCAGTGAGAGAATCTGGTTGAGGCCAGTCCTGAATGACTGACAATACACAGAAGGCAGAACAGAAGAGCAGGCAGTGCCTGGAAAACATACTTACTGAAGCCAAGGGGAGAATGAAACACTGAGCAGAGGGCAAAGTTACAGAGCTCCATACCTAGAGGCTCACAAACGAGAAGAGATTGAACTATGAAGTCAAGACATCAACCATGAGAGGATGGAAAAGACATGGGCAGAGACTGGAGGCTGTCACCAGTGCTTTCCCTTACAGGCTCCCCAATTCGACACGTATGTATCACACAGTCGCAACAAGAGGTCATGGGGTGAACACAGACAGAAAGAAATCATAACACCTGCCTGCAAGAAGACTGGATTTCAATAGGGAGAATTACGAAAGTATATAAATGATTATAATACCAGGGTAAATAAGGTACATGTCATAAGAGAAATACATAAGGGTTGAAATGCACAACTTGCAAAGTCTCAATGCAGCAATAAAGGATAATTGTACTTAATATTCTGCTGATCTCTCAGTGAAAGAAAAAAATCATAGGACTTAAATTATCTATCTTTGCTTGCAAAGCTATCTATGTCTGGCATAATTAATATAATTACCAATATAAAACATTTGTTACTTCCAAATAGCCCGATTGCTAATAGCACCTTCCATTGAGAGAACCATGAAAAAAAGTAAATCCAGGATCCTAGAATGTTCCATCCCACTGAAAAACTCTTAGCTATACGTTGCTTGTTTTTGTTTTGTTTTTTTTAACTTTGGGTGGGTTTTATTTCTCCTGAGGTTAGAAAACCATGTAGAGGACAGCTCTTTAAATATTTCCTTCAGAAGGAGCCTCAAATTCAACATGAGAAGATAGTTAGAGAAATCCCTAATGGCACAGACAACATACATTTTTCATAAAGTGATTATCCTCCTGCAGTCTCAGCTTCCTAAGCCTCTCCCCCCTTCTATAATTGTTTTCCTTGTAGGCCAGGCAACAATTACCACTGCTACAAGCCTGAGCAGGTTCACAAGCAATATATTTTACAATACATAAGTGTAGTGTCTTTGATATCTAGTGCTTTTATCACTAATTGCACTATAAAATGCGCTATTAAAACAGGGACAAACAAGATTGTAAAAATCACATAATGGACCATGACCACTTACAAAAGCCATTCATAAACATTACTGTAACACTTATTTTTCTTTAATTTTCCCGTGATAGCATTATTTTTCCAAATATTCACTTCTAGAGGGCACTAACAAGAAAGAGATTATATTTGGAAATTGCATAACATATATTCTTGCCTTTGGCTATATTGCTATATAAGTTTGCTCAAATTTTAAATGATATGGAATGTCAGACAATGTGCTATGAACACTTAATCTCTAAGGCCAGCTACATAATCTCTTGAAAGATACAGTAGACACAGCAAATGCATTTAAGCTATAGTAGCTATTTAAATTTTAGAGCATAGGACTGCAAGCATTAAAAAAAAAAAATCACGGTAAGATTTCACTAGAATTCATTAGAAGGAATTCCAATCTATGAAACATACACTATAACAAAGCCAATAAAACATTTATACCTTGGGGACAGACAGAATAATCAAATATTACTGCCAATTACTGCAAGATATGGATCAATAAAGCTAACTATAGTATCATGCCATTAATACTAACTCAGGGGCAAATTTTCAAAGTGTGAATGAATCGTTCAACAAACAACTTGACTACATATTCACAAATCTAGCCATAAAAAAATGTATAGAAAATTAAGATAAGAATAAGAAAATTAAGATAAAATGAATTTTGTTATCATAAATAATTCTCATGACTACTTAGATGGAACTAGGAATTTTAAGTAGTGACTCAGATGAACTATCGGGATGGTGTGTAGGTTTTATCAATTAGTAGAGACAAATTAGTTCTAATAATGCCACAGATCACAAGTATTGCAGCCAAATAGTGGCCAGCCTCTACAAAGCTAAGTTAAGCTGCCAATTAGTGAAATGGGATTGCTTGTTCTATAGGTTGGTGACCTTCTGGAAACTGAAGAAGTAGCTAACACCTTAATCTCAAGTGTGAGCCGAGAAAGTGTAACGAATTCACAGAGAAATGCCAGCTTCGGTACATGTCCCCACACCTGTTCTCAAATAGTCTCTTACACTCTTACAATCACCTAACCTGAGCAAAATCAGACTCTACTTTTTAAACAAAAGATAAGCCACAACTAGACATTTTAATGGTACCTAAATTACTATTTTTTCTTCTGGAGCTACTAACCAGCAATCAATCTTTCAAAAGGAAGACTATCAGAAAGTCAAACAGATTATATATAAAAAGCTTGCTCTAATTTCAGAAACTGAAATCAATTCAGTAGGATTCTCTTTCCAATGTTTTGAACAAGAATAATTAGTTCTTTCAAAAAGCCAATAATTTAAAATACTCTAAAACTGTTGAATAAATAGTTGAATAAATAAAACTGTTGAATAAATGCAAATTAGAAGCTTACCTTTCACCAAAATCACCTCCCCAAAATTAGCCCCTTCGATGTGTTAAAACGATGTAACTGAAAGAAGTGAAATGGGGACTGTACACAAGCTACACATAAAACTTACCTTGTCAGATGCCTCGGAAGCCAGAAGGTTAGTTGCGAGGGTTTGCAGCTTATGATGGGCCATGTTCTTGAGAGCTGCGAGGCTCCGTCTGGTCATGGCCTGTTTCAGGTTGACCGCTGGGTGACTTAGGGAGTCGACAGCAGCGGGAACTGCTTCGTCACACGCATTCAGTATCTCCACTGCTGTTATTCCCATCACACAACGATCCAGTGCACCTGGAAGAGACAGGCATCCACAACTACTAGCGAACACTGGAGCATTCTAAATAATTTCTTAAGAAAGGAAAATGCATTGACCTTTACCAAGAAAAAATAGGTCTTGTTAGCGTCTCCCAGCACTGTTTTCTTGTGCTTCCTTCCTCCGGTGCTCTTCCGTCTGGCATTACCTTCATCAACCTAAAGCCCACCACAACTTCACAGTAGGACAACCTCAGAGCCCAGATTTCAACAACTCTCTCCAGGGTTTTCCATGTCTTCCAAACTCCAAGATGGTCACCTAGCACCCACCACACCACTCCATCACAAACACCATTCCCTCTGATTTCACCTTCCTCTATGTTGTCTACTCAGCGTAAACAAACCAACCCCAAAAGTGCCCGAGTTTTACTATTTTTCAAAATGTTTTCGACTTAAAGACTCCGGAAGTCTCTCTTTCTCTAGGAAACTTCCACAGGATGGGGGGAAATTTTTAGCCACTCAATCTGTCTGTAATTTTTAAAATTTTTATTCTTTATACCCAAAGCTTCCCTGTATTGGTAAAACAACTCTTACTATTTGTAACCAAAGCTTCTTCATTTGGCCATTTTTCCCTTTATCACCATCTGTACATTTTCTGGCTAACTGTAAAGTACACACTCCTCTGCATGCTTTGTTTTATATAGTACCTAGCATCACATCAAGCAGAGAAGGGTCTCAATGTGACATTGTGTATAATATTTTAGAATGACAATGAAATGATGATGGAGTCTATTTTGATTCACTGGGCATTCTTCCAGTAAATGGCCATTAAAAGAGGACAAGTCAATTGTGAAAATTAACCAGAAAATTTTTACAGTGTTTTGAGCTAGGGTTAAAACATCCAAAAATAGGCCCTCCCTGTTGGCGCAGCGGGTCAAAGCACTGCACTAAGAAGCTTAAGCCACTTCCGCATGAGTTCGATCCCCGCCTGCCCCGGAGGAAATCCACATGGCGCAGCAGACCTCTCCTGACCCACCCGCTGCTCCCCTCAGTAGTGTACTTCGTCGATCTGTCTGTTCTGCTCCCCACTCTGTCTCTGGTGAATCCTCTCACCCTCCGCATCTCTGGCCTGTACCCCAGTTCTGTATGAATAAATAAATAAATCTTTAAAAAAAAAATCCAGAAATATAGTCTCTCCCCAATGTCAAATGCAACCCAATATACCTCAATGTCAAATGCCATGAGGGTCTGCCCCTCATTTCTTAGAGTTTTACCCTTTACTCACTACCTTTTTTTCCATAGTACTCCTACAAGCATTGCTTGGTGATTTCAGTATTTATATACATCTTCATTTCATTGAGTCTTTACTAATACATTTTGGAGGTGAAGCATAATAAGAAAATGCTACCTAAAACATTCCACGTACATAGAAAAAGAAGAATGTGTATTCTCACAAAAGGATTTAAATTTGCTTAAATGTACAAAAATCAGCACATATGAGACTTCCGCATATCCTGGCCTCTTGGTTCTTTGCAGCCCTCCAATCATTTTGTCTGACTCATAGTCACAGACTATGGTCAATTTATAATCTTCTCATTACCAATAAACAAAATTCCAACATGACCCAATTCCAAACATCCCCTTCCCTGATATCAGTTCCCACTCTTCTCTCCTTCTGACTCAGTAATCCCTTCCTGAGGACTCACTCCAGCAATCCGTTAATCTAGCTTACCCCATGTCCTTACTAACACTCCATCATCCCTCTTGGCCACAGCTTTGTCTTCATTTCTACTGTCCACCTCCTCCACACCTGCCCGATGAAGAGGGTGTGAATGACCAACACTGCAAGAGCCACCTGAATTCATGACCAAGGCTGGCATGAGGGCCTGAAGTGGTGACATCTGCACAGAGCTTTCACTTCCCCACTTTCACTTTAACTACTTCTTATTTCATACCTTTTTATCTCCTCTAATTTCCAGCACTCCATCTCTTGCCCTCACCCAGGGGAGAGTTTTGCTCCCTAGATTACTTAGAAAGCATCAGAAAAGAAGCACAAGCTTCCCTCACTGCATCTCTGCTCACATACCCCAGAGTGTTGAAAACACTGTCCAGACTCTGACCTAATGCTGTCTGCCTCGGGTCAGGATTTCAGCAATTCTCCACTTTCTCTTCATCAGTTTTGCCTACCTACTCTATCACTTCCACTTGCATCTAAACATGCAATTGTTTCAGCTGTTTACAAGGAAACACAGTTGACACCAAATCTCTGGCCAGCTGGCAACCTATTGTTTTATAATCTCCCTCGAAAGAGTTGCCTATATTAATAGTCCAGAGTTTTCTCCTCCCATTTTCCATTTGAATCCAACTCGTCAGGTTTCACCACAAGACAAGCACAGAACCTGCTGTTACTGAACTCACAGTTGTCAGCCCTCGCTACTCTCACTTAGTCCCCGGGCACCCAGGCTTCAGCTCCACTCCCTGCAATGCTTTCATTCATTGGCTTCCAAGCAACCACATCCTTCATGTTCTTCTTCTCCCTGGCAGTTCCATCTCGGTCTACTTTGTTGGTTTCTCCATCTCACAAAACTGCATCTTACAGCCTTTTCCTCCAAATTCCAAAGTGAATTGTTCAAAGGGAGGAAAGAAACCCTCTGATTGATTATACTTGGCTTTACCAAGATTGTAAAAAAGTGCCATTTTTCTTAGCCCTTTCATTCTTTGAATCTCGTCCTATAAATTTTTTATAGTAGAATATAAAGCAAAAATGTAGAAGATATAGAAAATTTGATGATATAATGCCATCCACTGTGAAACCGACATAAAATCAAATCTCTACCCATTAAGTCCTGTAAGACAAAGGATAAGTGTGTGAAAAAATACTGGTACTAATAGGGAGTTCTACCACCTCCAATTCTCTTTTTAATTTTACTAACAAAACAAAACCCTCCATTTAAGTAAATAAAAATTAATGTATGAATATGTTTTCAAGAATTAGTGTTAAGCAAGAACAACAGTACACTAAGACAATTTGTAGGGAAAAAATCTGATTTTTTGATACATTTATGTTTTGATTATCAATACTTTCCATAGACGTTTTCAAAAGATGTAAATATACATTCATTCACAATTCTTATCTATATTTGATTAGATAATTAAGTTTAAAATATGACAAACCATATTTCATGAAGTAAATACAACAGCAGAAATAGTTCAGAAAGCTGAGGGACAGAAAATAAAAAGATCACAGAACAAAACTGACAAGACTTCATAAACTAATTTCTATTAATACTTAGAAAGGGCTCCTGGAGTAACTGGACTGATAGGAATAGACAAATGATGGGCGAATCACTTTTATTCCATAGCAAAGATGATAAAAACAGATAGATACGGATGTTGTTCAGCTTGGTAATGACTAGATAAGATCATCTTGTAATATCCGCCATCACTTAAAATGCACCACTCTCTCTCAAGTAGATAGGATTTTGACCTTGTCAAAGGCTTCTGTGAACATCACCGCATGCTTACTGGGAACATGGAAGGTGAAAGGAAGGTTCATTCCCCAGGAGCCTAAGCAGCTTAAGCAGAAGCTACCTCCCTTGGTCAGTTCCTAAGTATAACTCAAGGAGTTCATTTGGCCAAGTCTTATAGCTAGTTGTGGACTGATTTTCTCCCTATGCAGAGAAGTGGAAGAATAATTTCCTGTGGCCTCACAGGTGACTTTTCATTGCTATGGCAGATAATAAAGATAACATCGTGAAAGAACAGAAGATTGTGGGTCTATCTCTAATTAAACTTTCTATTACATTTCATTAGAAAGCGAACACTGAAAATGATGCCCATATGAAGAGAAACACATAAAAGAAAATGCTGCATGAAAGTATAAAGGAAGGCCATTGTAAGCATTTTAAGACACATCAATACAGAATAGTAAACAAAGAAAATTACACAATATGCTTGAGTACTTTTAGTGTAATTAAAGTTATTTTTAAGAAACCGTCCCAAAACATTAAGAAGAGGAATGAAGTATTTCTCCAAGTTTAGATACATTTCATGCCTCAAACCTTGGCTGAATCTGATTTATTTAGCTTCATTATTTATTTATTTAATAAATAAATAAATTTAATAAATAAATAATGTCACTACCTTCAGGATGTGCCTTACTGGTCCACAGGGACTGTTATATCACCCGCGAAAGCCTGAACAACAAGGAAAAAAGAAGGCACACCTCCCATTATGCTCGAAATCCAAAATAAATTCTACTTTGCTGTTTTTATCTTAAAAATGCCATGCTGTCTGCTTCCTCAAACCCGACAGTCAGAATTGTGAAGTCTGTGAATACTGTGTTTAATTCAAAATGGGCTTCATTATATGAAACTGTTCTCCAGTACACACATATTTTTACCAAAGTATTTTATATCTGAAATATTCAGTATCATCTATTTCAGTATCTGAAAATTTCAGGAATATTATGCTTTCTTCCTATCTCACATTTAGTTCATTTTTAAAAGCCATAGGCAAGCTTACCACACTTTTGCATTTAAAAACGTATCAATGATCAATATAACATTTATAGTATTGTAAAAGTTTTGACAAATGTCACTATTGTTATAAGAACTTACTCTCCTTAGTACTAGCTCCCAAAGAAAATACTTCTAATGGTGTTGATACTTAAAATCCTAGTCCTGAGTTCAACATAGTAACAAGTAGTATCTTTTTGAGAACAGTAATGTGAGATATACACACTGAGTACAGATACACACTTACAAGCCCACAAACACAAATACACACTTACAAAATACCTACTACACCAGGTTAATATTGTTTGTTCTCTCAGTGTTGTAAAAAAGAAACGATTGCTCTTTATTTTACAAATAAGAAAGTGAAGGACAAAAATCCAGTATCTTGGGGGAGTGGGAGGGTCACAGAGCCAGCAAGTGGACAACCCTAAATTCAAACCCAGCCATCTGACATGGAGCCTATGACAAACCTTGAATGTTAAACTTTGTGGGAGGAACATACTAGAATCACAAGGCTGTACTGCTCACCCAACAGGATACCACAAATGGGCGCAGAAGTAAATTGTCTACATCACTTACAGCAACACTGACTTAAAGATGCACAGAATCGAGACTACAGAGAAATATGTCAAATGGTACCATTTACCTTTCATCTTTTCTAATACTTGCATCACTTCTAATACTTGCATGCTTTTAAATTTAGACAAAAAGTATGAGCCTTTTATTCAACCAGACAAGAAAAAGTTAAATGCAAAAGCAACGTAGTCTGATGTTCCTTAAGAATGCTTCCTGCGGGGAGGGAAGTGCACAAGACTGTGGTGATGGCACATGGGTGATTCGGTGATGGGAAACCCATGGGGATTACAAATGAGATAAAAAAAAAAAATGTACAAAATGATGTAAAAATACTATCATATTATTAAAAAAAAATAAAAAGAATGCTTCCTGCAGTCAAGACTGCCTACAGACAGTCAATTAAAAAAAGGCCTATAGGGCCCTCCCTGATGGAGCAGCGGGTTAAAGCACAGCACTAAGAAGCTTAAGCCACTTTCGCATGAGTTCGATCCCCACCTGCCCTGGAGGAGATCCACATGGCGAGGCAGACCTCTCCTGACTCACCCGCTGCTCCCCTCAGCAGTGTACTTCATTGATCTGCCTGTTCTGTACCCCACTCTGTCTCTGGTGAACCCTCTCACCCTCCGCATATCTGGCCTGTACCCCAGTTCTGCATGAATAAATAAATCTTTAAAAAAAAAAAAAACAAGGCCTATAAATAAAAGGCCTCCAAAGATTATGATGACGTATCCCCAAAAGACAGAATGACCTACAGCATCATGGTATGGACAGAAATGTGCGTATATTCTGATGTTTAAAGGGACCGTTTAAAAGAAACAAACAAAAATATGAAAGGAAGGGAAACATTTAGTGGAAAGATTATACTATGGATAGAAATGTAAAGAAAGGTTTAGTCACTGATCATCATTTAAGACAGCAAAAGTAGAACGAAATGTGTTTATGAAAGATGAAACTAATAAACACATACTTAAAGGTTTCCAGGACAGACAATGATATCCTGAGCATAATAAACATTATATATCATGGCATGTACTTTGAAACTAAGCAATACTTAATCTCTCCTATACCCTACACATCACATTTTTGAATATTGAATCCTTAAATTGTTCTCTATTGAACTTCAAATTTTAATTTCGATCACCACTTCAATTAACTGCCCCCTATAGCTTTTCTCCTTTCCAAATAAAAGAGGATATTTATCTGAATTAGAGACAAAAATGGTTCCTTTATCTTGATCATTGTTTCCTTCAAGAATTATACAGAAATCGCTCATTTTTGCCCGGTGTCTGGCTGTCTGTCCTAATCGGCACTTTAATTACATCCCTTTAAAAACTGCAACTACTTGGCATATAACAAGTAAGAAAATGTCTAAAGACTTCTTTGTTGACGAGGATGCGAACATTTAGAGAAAGCAGCAATCAGAATAAAAGTTGCAACCTTTTCACATTTCAGGGCTGTTTTCCTCCTATGAAAGGTGTTTAATTTCCAGGATAGCAAACGTACTCATTTCATTTATATGTCAACCTCTTAGCATCTGTTCTTACCAGTATCCATTTGCCAGACGTACACAGAGCCATCGGAACAGCCCACCACTAGGTAATCGTCAGATGGCCTCCACTTGATGACTTGAATGGGGAAAAGGTGACGAGATGCCAGCATGATGCACTTTTTTTCTCGCAAACTTAGAAGTCCCACTGAGTGATCACTGGCTACAGAACAGATGCAGTGCTGCACTCTTGCCTGAAAAGATGAATAAACCATCATTGCATTTGTATTACATTCACAATAAAATGACCCCGTCTTTTATAATTTAAACCAAAATCAACCCTATACTGATCACTGACAACAAACCATGATATTAAGTCATATTGAAAAATGTGTTCCTTTATGTTATACAAAAAAGAAAAGTCCCAGTTCCATCATCCTAGCGCTTAAAAGAAATACTGAATTAATCCTCGATTAAAGATGGAAAAGATGCTTTGGCAAATCTGCTGTTCCAATCTGAAGATGACCTCACCAACGTGAAAGCTGCCTATGAGCAGACAGAGCTGGACAAAAATTGATCTGCTATTACGTGTTCTCTTTCCACAGTGTGAACTTTCCTTTGTCAGCTGCTCGAGCTGCATTCTGTTTGTGTCGCTGTCATTTAGACCCAGGCTCTTCCCTGTTCCTTTGCTCAAAAACAATAACCTTCTGGTTGCCCTGCCACAATCGTTTCTTAAGAGCCAGACACTTTGTATTATCTACAGACGTGCTGCTCAGCTTCTGTCTCTAGTGCCAGCAGGAGCAACACCTCAGCAGGCGCACAATGGCCAATTAAACATTCTGCTCTGCGTTCTCTGCTCATTTCTAGTTTTGCCTTCAGTTCTTTTTCAAGACAAGATGGACTATGGATAATCAAACAAAGGTGGTAAAGATTTTCAATAGCAACAGAGAACTGAATCCACAACCTAGAAAGTTAAATATCAAATCTTTCAAATTTCTGTAATATTTATAGGCAGCTTACAACTTAACTTTTTAGTTATTATACTTTCAGTGCATAGTGAGGTGAAACCAAATGAACCCATGAGGTTGTTTATTGAAAACAAGACCTATTCTACCATATATGGATGTGTGAGGTTGTGTGTGTGCATGTGTGTGTGTCTCTGCTCTGGATCCAAAGGAGAATGTCTCATCTCAAACCCAACTCTGACAGTCTTCACCTAAACAAGACTATTTTTAAATAAAGAACAGTATTTCACCGAATGGTGTATCTCACTAAATGGGAAATGTTGGCAGGTGTCAGATTAAAACAAAGGGGGTGAAGGGCTCTCCCTGGTGGTGCAGCAGGTTAAAGCACCAGATTATGAAGCTCTCCGAAGCCACTGCAGCACGAGTTCGATCCCCGGCCCTGGAGGTGACCCACATGGCGCGGCAGACCTCTGCTGACCAGCCCGCTGCTCCCCTCAGCAGTGCACTTTGTCAATCTGCCTGTTCTGCTCCCCACTCTGTCTCTGGTGAATCCCCTCACTGCCCCTGCACCTCTAGCTAGTTCTGTAAGCATAAATACATAAATCTTTAAAAAAAAAAAAAGGCAGTGTAGGCAAGTGTGCACGAGAAATACAAATTGCAGTTGTAGTTTTTATCCAAGGGACTTCCAAGAGCCTTTAGCAAACAGATGTAAATACGATTATGTCTGCATGGGGGACATAGTATTATTTGAATGATATAAAGTTATGTGACCAAGATAATCTGGTAAGACCTAGTTTTTCAGTAACCCACTTTGGGAAAAGCTGCTATATATACTAGTTCATTTGGGCCTGGATAAGTAGGAAATTCAGGACTAAATTTTCCATCTATAGTGATGTGGACTCTCCAGCAGGTATTTCTGAATGTGACTCTCAATGGTCTCATCTACTTTCTTATCTCATTTTGTCTTCACTTTATTTTGATCTTACTGAATATTTTTTATAAACAACCTAACATTAATTTTTACATGAAGCAAGATATTAATAAACAAAGACAGTAACATTTTTAACTTATTTATTTTGTTTATAAGTCCAGGTGTTTCATTCTTTAACTTTAGCTTTATTATCCTTTCTTAAAATGATTATTGAAACAGTATAACCAGCTTTGCAGGCATTTAGTAATTTCAAAAGTAAAGAAAACTAAGTTTGGAAAGATCATATAGAATGCTCTTAAACAAGCATTTATTAAGCACACTTACTCTATGTTCCCTGATAAGCACTCAGGTGACACATTATTTTTTGTCTTTAAAAGGACATATTAATGAGGCCTTCCCTGGTGGCACAAATGGGTTAAAGTGCAGCACAATGAATCTGTGAAGCTCTCTGTAGCCACTGCAGCACGAGTTCAATCCCTGGCCAGGGAGCTGATCCACATGGTGCAGCAGACCTCTCCTGTCACCCTCACTGCTCCCCTCAGCGTTGTATGTCAGTCCGTCTGCCTGTTCTAAACTGCAGAAGCAGCACGGCTGTCCTCGTCAAAGAGGGTTCCCGGAGGACCCTGATTCTGCAAGCAGCGACTCCTCAGAAGCTTCACTGCCCAGATTCCTCCTTCTCCATTTACACGGAGCAGTAAGTTCAAAGATTCAAGAAATTGCACCCCACTCTCATGCAAAAATCTAAACATCTCCCATATGATCACTCACACAGTACAATCAAGATATGTGATAAGATTTTCTAGAGGAAAAAAAGTAGTTTGAAGTACATCCCCAAAATTTTAGCATTTTGTGTACACAGGATGCAATTTAACCTGACATATATTTACATAACTTTTTTTTTTCAGAAGTCTTATTCCTCTTTCATACAGTGCAGCAATGGTGAAAACTAGCAAGTGATGTGCTCCAACAACAAAAAAAGTGTGGTCAGATTTAAAAATGATATACGATGCCTGCAAATGACCATAAGCATCTGAAGAGTTACCTCTAGCTTTACTGTAATGAGCAACAGTCTGGAAATTGCCAAAATAATCAAGACTGAAAATAACAAAAAAGAATCAATATTAGTGAGCCCAAAAAAGCATCGTTGTTAGCGGTACTTAACTCACAAGAAAAGATGGTTTTCTGCTTTTTAAATATGGATTAAAATAAATCTAATTTTTCTTCTTCCAAGAAAATGCTAGTCCCACTCATGTGAAGAAAACTGGCCTAGAGTAGAAATGGCCCAGTACAGTAAGACCTCATTAATTTTGCTTCCACTAATTAATTCTGAGTTGATGGTTACCTTTGCAGGCTGTGTGAAAACAAGTTAATGATATAAACAAAGCAAATGTCTAGCCTATTTAAATGTAAAAAAGACCATCCTCAAGCACCACCTTGGTCTTAATGTCAATTCAAACAATGAACAGACTAATGATAAATAATTCTCCGCTATCTGTTAAATGAAACCACTTAAAAGATTTGCTAAAGCACAATTAACTTGATATCTTCTTATCTGTCTGCAAAATTATTAAAGAAATGCTTTTTAAAGAATATTTTATACCTCATATTTCTCTTTAATTCTCACTCAGCTTTCCCCGAAATGAGTTGAATTAGCATAATTTTTTTATTATTGAATCCCAGAGATCTCGGTTATAGAACATTTGCTTCATCTATAATGACTGATCTGTAATTTGATTAATTACATTCTACCTCACTGTCTTCCATTTCTATCGGGAAAAGTCATCTAAACATGACTTAAACATGAAGGGTGTTATAAGAATATAATATGTAAGACATTTAAACTGTGTGATTAAAATATTACAAGAAAAAATGTGAACCTCATATCTTCAGCTAAATCATTTAAAAGCACCTATATTCCAACCTTTTCTGATCATAGCCATTCATTTAATCTTTGCAATATATTCCTAATAGATAGATGTTTCTTTATAAAACACAGAAGTACCTCCGTATCAATACTTTATGCAATAAACAAACAGAAGATGAAATAGAACACTATCTTTGAAAGGTTTCGTTGTTAATGACAGTAGATAAAAATGCATATTTGATAAAATTATTATTTTTTTGGCTGCCTTCCTGCTAGACTGCTCAAATGATCACTCTTTCAACCTCATAATGTGGCTCATAAAAAGATACTAGTTTTCACTAGAAATCTCTCCCATCATTATTTTCTACACCCGGTTTTTTGATGGCTAGCTTAAGAACTATACAATGTAATCTGCAAATCCCTTAATCAAATACATTGATCTGGAAGCAGTTAGTGAGAACTACAAGGTCACCCTATCTACTGTGGCAGGACCAGTACCCCCTTAAGGGATACGTCCCCACGTGATGTGAAAAACAAGGGGGCACCAATGTCCTTCCATACATGAGGTGTTCATAAGCTCAGTTTCTTGAGATCAAGAAGAATATCTGAGTAAGTTTTTATATTCATCCCATAACTCAGTGAACTATTTCACATACACCACTTCAGCAACCACTGTTAGCAATGGACTTAAGGGAGTCCATATAAACACCATTTTATCATTATTGTTATTATTTTAGATCTATTTATTTGTTCATACAGAACTGAGGTACAGACCAGAGGCACAAGGGCGGTGAGAGGATTCACCAGAGACACAGTAGGGAGCTGAATAGGCCGACTGAGTACTACACTGCTGAGGGGAGCAGTGGGTGAGGCAGGAAAGGTCTGCTGCGCCACGTGGGTCACTTCTGGGGCAGGGATAGAACTCGCATCAAAGTGCTGCGGCCAGCTTGTGCTTTCACCCACTGTGCCACCAGGGAAAGCCCTAAACACCATTTTAAATGTCTTATTGTTATGGCAGAGAATTTGCACTGCATGGACTGAGCACCCTATCAAGTTGGCTAATACTTTGCAGGTGAAAATGATTCAAATTCACATTCCAAACACTGTATTTACTCTTCCCTAAAAGCATCATAGACCAATGACATCAAAAGTTAATTCAAAAGCAAAGACTAACAAAATGAATATGGAATCAAATAACATCTTAATATTTATTTTATAAAATAATTAAAATAACTGGGATGAGAGAGAGGTGACATTGGACCTAAGTATATTTCAAGCTCAATTATTATTGTCCAAAGAATTCTGGTCCTCTACCTAGGAAGTCTCACTAATTTGCCAGTAAATAATTCTCATGGTGCATTAGTGCTGAGCAGCAGAATGGCAAAGCTCGCACAGAATCTCAGAGTCAGAATATACCACCTAGGTCACCCAGCCTGACCTTACACATTTTACAAGACTTCATTTTAAACCATTCCCAGAAACCTTTTATGTAAC